GTCAATCAGTGTTTCAGATATCTTAAATGCTTTTAAATTTTCCACGTGTCTATACACACGTGGTTTAAGCAAAACTACAAACGGGAAATGCAACACGAGAACAAATTCCAAATCCCCTTTTTGGATCTTAGAATATTTTTTTCGGCATTTAATTCATGAATATTAAACAATTAAAAATTCATGCTTCATCATCTAAGAGCTTATTTTACTTCATTACTCTATGTCTTCATTTCAGCTTTCAAAAATATTCTTTTTTTCTTCTACTGATTCCTCTAGAATGAACAAAACAAAGAGCCAAAAACAAACCAATAATTAACATAAAAAAATAAAATGTAAAACAAGTAAAGAATTTATACACTTTTTCAAGTAAATAAAAGGTAAATCATTAATAGGTCATTTTATTCTATTATTATTTAGAATAAAGATGGAAATAATCCGATGATCTGCTAAGTATATGTAACTTAAGAACTGGTAAGTCAAAATAATAATTTTAATTATGTTTTTGGTTTAAATTGATACATATATATATATATATATATATATATATATATATATATATAAATATATATATATATATATATATATATATATATATATATATACCGTGGCTGTTTCCCCCTTAAATATATATATATATATATATATATATATATATATATATATATATATATATATATATATATATATATATATATAGAGAGAGAGAGAGAGAGAGAGAGAGAGAGAGAGAGAGAGAGAGAGAGAGAGAGAGAGAGCGCAACGCAGGTGGCCTGCGTCCCGATCTCCTAGCGAGAGAGGGAGGGAGGGAGGGCGAGCACGAGAGAGAGAGGAGATATTTATAAAACCTTGACAAGGAGAAGAAGTGATGAGCTATGGAATAGGAGAAAGGAAGGGAAAAAAGTGTAATGGCTCGTGGAATAGGAGATGGGATGCAACATGTCTCAAGGATGGATAGATACCATGATATGGAACAAGGAATAATGGGGGGGAGGGATGGGAGGGGGGTGGGGGAGTGATCGGGAGAAGGAATAGATTATATATATCTTTTTTTTACTTATGATAAAATGTGGATATTGTGAATATTAGACTGACAATAAAATCAGAACATTTGAAGATTAATAAATATGTTCAAAAAATGTCAAAAGGAAAAATATCTACATTATAATAATAATGATAATAATAATAATAACAATAATAATAATAATAATAATAATAATATATAATAATGATAATAATAATAATAATAATAATAATAATAATTAATAATAATAATAAAAATGATCTTATTATTATTATTATTATTGTTATTATTTATTATCATTATTATTATTATTTCCAGTGATAGGGGAGAAATCATTTCCCTTTCGTGTCCCAAGCCCCCTGCAGAAGGCAGCTAAAAGGGATAAGGAAGCGAAGGATCGTTCCAGATTCCTCTCTCTCTCTCTCTCTCTCTCTCTCTCTCTCTCTCTCTCTCTCTCTCTCTCTCTCTCTCTCAACTTTTTACCTAGCCATAATACAGGTGAACAAAGTATAAAAAATTACAAGAAAAACTTACGAATTTCTTTATATAAATATATGTGAATTAACAAAAGTGAACCACGGTGGCGCAGTGGTTAGAAGACTCGACTCAGGGAGTAACAGAGCCCACTTCGGGGCGTTAGGAAGGGCATCCAGTTTTAATTCCCCAGTTTCAACCAGTTTGTGTCCACCCCCATAATGAGGATTAATAAAACGGCAAACATAAGATTTAACAAAGATTTTACTCTACAATTTTCAAATTTGTTTTTAATAAGAATAAAACGCTATACTATACATAGGAAAAAATATATAAGCTTCATTCAAAGAACAGGCACCTAATGTAACTTTCTTTGGGGTGCTTAATCTGGGCCCGAGACAAAATGCAGGTGCTTAATATGGGATTTAGCTTGAACGCAGGAATTTGAAATAACGAAAATATTTAAAATTAGGTTAAATTACGTAAGGTTATGTTATGTCATGTCAGGTTAACCTAACCTAACAATAAATTTCGAACGTAGAGGAGCTCCGTTTGGGATTGATGTACATTAGGTGCCTATTCTAGGATTGATCCTCATATTATATATCAGTATATATATATATTTTTTTTTACGAAAAACGGAGAGCGATAAGTTGAAATATAATACGCAAAGAACTAAAAGATTAAAACAAATGGAATGATAAAAGAAGAAGAAGAAGAAGAAGAAGAAGAAGAAGAAGAAGAAGAAGAAGAAGAAGAAGAAGAAGAAGAATGATAAAAGAAATAGAGAAACAGAGAAGTGCAAAGAGAACAAAGAACCACAGAACCCGAAAGAAGAATAACAAAGAACAACAATTAATTTGCAAGTGAAAAAAAAAGGTTGGTATAATAAAATGGTAATGACAAAGAAGACGAATAAATGAAGGAATAGCGATAATGATAATGAATAAGGGAGAGAAATAAGTGGAGGAGGAAGAGAAAGAGAAGGAGAAACTTCTCTTCAAGTGTGAAGATATTAAAGAAAGAGAAAAAGAATGATGACTAAGAAGATGAATATAAGAAAGAATAATGAGAGAATAACAAGGAGAGAGAAGAGAGAGAAGTGGGAGAGGAAGAGGACGATGTAAGTGAGTGACTGAGGGGAAAGATAGAAGTGGGAGAGGAGGGGGTAGGGGAGGAAGGGGAAGGAGAGAATATAAGTGGAAAAGCGAGGGGAAAAAGAGGAGTGGGAGAGCAATGGGAATGAGAGAAGTGGGAGAGGAAGGGAAGAGAGAGAAGTGGGAGGAAAGGGAAAGAGAAGAGTGTGATAGTTAGGGGAGAGGAAGGGGAAGAAAGAAGTAGAAGAAAAGAGAAAGAGAAAGGAAAGACGAATGAGAAAGAGAAAAGTGGGAGAGGTATGGGAGAGAAAAGTGGGACAGGAAGGAAGAGAGAGAAGTGGGAGAGGTATGGGAGAGAAAAGTGGGACAAGAAGGAAGAGAGAGAAGTGGGAGGAGGGGAAAAGAGAAGAGTGTGAGAGTTAGAGGAGAGGAAGGGGAAGAAAGAAGTAGAAGAAAAGAGAAAGAGAAAGGAAAGAGGAAGGAGAAAGAGAAAAGTGGGAGAGGTATGGGAGAGAAAAGTGGAGAGGTATGGGAGAAAAGTGGGAGAAGTATGGGAGAGAAAAGTGGGAGAGCTAGGGAAAGAGAAGAAGTGGGAAATTAGAGGTGAAATAGAGAAGTGGGAGATGAAGGGGAAAGAAAGATGTGTTGGGATAGTATAGAGAATGATAAGGAAGAGGAAAAGAGAGTAGAGGAAGAGGAAGAGAAAAAGAAAAGTGTAGAAGGGAGAGAAAAGGGAAGTTAGAGCACAGAAATGGTTGAAAATAAAAGTATTAAGAGAATGATAAGTAACGGGGGGGGGAAGGAAAAGTGAGATGAGAAGGGGAAAGAAAAAAGTGCTGAGGGTAGAGAGAGATAAGGAAGAGAGAGAGAGAGAGAGAGAGAGAGAGAGAGAGAGAGAGAGAGAGAGAGAGGAGAGAGAGAGAGAGAGAGAGAGAGAGAGAGTCTCTCATGGCATTTAAAAAGGGTGCTAAGATTGCTTGACACGTTTCTTACCTCCCTCGGACCAGTGAAGACGACCCTTAAGATGTCATCCAACTAGAGCCAATGACAAAACGACCAGGAGGGGGTACCCAGACTAGGATAACAGGGAGGAGGTCGTGGATAGAGTCTATGGTATAAAGCAAGGTATATAAATAGGACCAGGAGGGGGGTACAAACTAGGAAGAAAAGTGGATAAAGAAACTATAAAGGAGAAGAAACAAGAGATATATAATATGACCCGACAGACGCACAGACCAGGATAAGAGGGTGGGTGGGTAGCGGAGAAAGTCTACGGTATAAGGAAGAGATATATAAATAAGACCGGCAGGGGGGGGGGGACATAAACTAGGGAAGACAGAAACAACAGAGTAGAAGCAAGAGATATATAATACGGTCCGGCGGGGGCACAAACTATGATAAAAGGGGAGAGGCTACTGGAAAAAGGCCATGGTATAAATAAGAGATATATGAATATAGACCAAGAGGGGAGCGTTAACTACGAAGCAAAGGAGATGAGAAAATGGATGGTAGAAGACATGAAGCGACCAAGAGAAGGGAACAAGCATAAGAAGCAGAAAAGAAAGAGGTCTTTCTTTCGGTAGTAGCCCCTGCTAAGCCAGCACGCTCAGTTGTAAACAGCATGAGACGAGTGTGTGGGTCTGTGGTGGAACATTACCTTCATGAGTTGGGGCTTCTGTATGGAAAATATGACTGGGTATATAATCCTCTGGATTAAATGTTACTGTTCTTAACTGGTTTTCCGTTACGCGATGTGTCAAAAATTTTTTTTTTTTTTTTTTTTTTTTTAAGGTTAGGTAGCAGGTTAGGGAAGGCGTCTGCCTGCCATTTTGGGTGGTAGGGGGAAACAAATACCTTCTCCGTGTTCCCCTGTGCGTCGTAAAAATCGACAAAAAGGGACGGAGCTAGGGGACTAGGAATCTCCTCATGAGTCAATGTTTTGCACTGACTCGGTCATCCTTCTTATTAGGGGAATCATGGCTCTTGTGTGTGTGTGTGTGTGTGTGTGTGTGGTGTGTGTGTGTGTGTGTGTGTGTGTGTGGTGTGTGTGTGTGTGTGGGGGGCATATATATATATATATATATATATATATATATATTATATATATGGTAGATAGATAAATAGATAGATAGATAGATAGATAGATAGATAGATAGATAGATAGAGAGAGAGAGAGAGAGAGAGAGAGAGAGAGAGAGAGAGAGAGAGAGAGAGAGAGAGAGAGAGAGAGAGAGAGAGAGAGAAATACCTTTGCATTAACAAAATTATGTTTTACTTATTTTATAGGTGTTAAATATGAAGACTTGTCTTATACGAACTTTTACCAAGGACGGTCCCTAGACTCTCACATTAACACACACACACACACACAATGCATCAAGATTAGCGCCCTCCTCCCTAACTCCCCGTTCCTTGTGGTGTAATGGATGTACACATTCGGCACACAACCAAGAGATCTCGGGTTCGAATCCTAGGAGAGGAAGAAATTTTTGTGCAGGTTTCTCTGCAGCCAACTGCCTCTGTTCACCTAACAGCATAATTAGGTACCTGACATTTAGTCAATCGCTGTTGGTTGCAGTTCAGGGATGGTAATGCTTCAGGGTAAAGAAAAATCGACAAACTCGATAAAAGGGGAAAAAAGGGGGGGTTCCCTAACTCCTTAGCAGACAACAAACATTCTAAAAAGGACTGAAATAGAATAAAAAAAAAGAATCATATTACAAAAAGAACTGACAGATATGTAATGAAAATATTAAATAACCATGCATAAAATTTAACTATCTTAAAGGGATAAAAAAATAATAACTAAAAATCTATTACACAGGGATACACAATAATGTAACTCTCTGAAAAGAAGTTAATTTTAATTTTAAAAACACACACACAAAGCTACGGAATCCTTCACTCTCTAAAAACAACCATCATAAGAAAACAAAATACATAAATAAGACCATATATTCCACTCACTAAAAAGGACTGATATATAATTTCAGAAAAACAAATTCAAAAATATACAGAAACATACGCATACAATGGCAGCAATAACATTTGTAAAGGGGGTGGCTAACTCCTAAAGGTTGAGAAACATTACCCTCATCTCCTCCCCTCAGAATGGTGTGAAGTAGTCTTTCCAAAGCTACTTGTACCACCACCACCTTCAGTCAACTTAAGAGTCCTTCGGAGAGTTGAAGAATTCCCTCTACAAAGACTGAAGGAAACTTGTACAATGAGAACGACAGTCGAAAGTTATACAGAGGAATTGTAAATACTTCTCTCAAGACCATTTAATAAAAGAGGTAATAGTACCGTTTTTTTTCCTCACGGTTCCGATTTTACGTCACAGACTCCCTTTTCTACCAAGGGCTAGGACGATTGCCTTCTTACGAAGGACTTGTTATGGCAAATGTAATCCTCACCATGAGTGCATGCCCTTGCTAACCTCAGACCGTGACGGGGCGCGAACCCTCGACCTGACGCCTCAGAGTCGCGGACGCTTTTCTTACAATAACTCCCCATTAGAAGACGGATGGACACATAAGTTGGAATAGGGAGAATAAGCCTGGCTGCCCTTCCTTATGCCCCACGGTGGGATAGAATCCGAGGTGTTATCGTTTACCAATTTAACAGTGACACATAAAACAGTAAACATCTACAACAACGACAGTCCCCATTAGAATGCGGGTAGAAACACGTTGGAACCGGGGGATTAAGGTTGGGTGCCCTTTCTTACTTCCCTCGGCGAGATCACACCCGCGTTATTCAAGCTTGTCACTTCCCAATCAGTGCACTTTACTACTGTGTTACCGCGGCCTTCTATTAATTACCCAAGGTAGCCTCTGTAAAATAGGAAGCCCCTGTTTACTAGCTCAAAAGATACATGTCTGGCTTCAAACCAAGAGGTCCCATATTCACTTTTTTTTTTTCAACTAGAGCCATTCGGTTATAAGGAGAGGCAGAAATCCCCTGTGGTGAAATCCCCCTCTCAATACAGAAGATTTACTGAATACACCATTAGATGTGTGGAGTCAACAGTGGAACAGTACCTTTACTTATTAAGACTTTTTAAGTGCAGAAATTACCCTTCCGCAATTCGCCTATAATAATAGTAATAATAATAATAATAATAATAATAATAATAATAATAATAATAATAATAATAATAATAATCTTGTTTAAGGATTGATGATATACTTCATCTGAAGGATGGAGGAGACCTTTTCCTCCTGATATCTGGAGGATATTCCCTCCTAAATGGTGGGGATTAAAACAACAACAATAACTCTACGGGCTTCCGGGTAAATATGAATCCCGTTTCAAGATGGACATGCGCTATGGGAGACAAAAGTGGAAAAAAATATATAAACAAAGAATTCTTACTCATGTTAGACACGATCACCTTAATTCACGGCTGAGTGATCCAAACGGCCTCATTTTCCACGGGTTGATACATTTTATACAGAAGATATACACATCATATGCATTAAAATCCCTCCCCTCCCCTCTGTTCTCGCCATAAGACAGGTTTTCATACACGGACGATCTTTCCTGTCCAACTCATAAATAAAACTCCTCTTTTAACCTATATTATGGCAGTATTACCCTCCCCCCTTCATCACAAACTTATTTCCATCTGTGGAGAATTTTCTATTATATTATGCTGTTCTGATATTATCTCCCCTCTCCACCACAGGACAAGTTACATACTTGATTAAGCTTTTCCTGTCCGGCATATTAATTTCACTCCTATAAAAAGGTTACCTTATGCTACCAGCGTTGCACAGGTTTCATACACGAATAATCAAGCTTGTCAGGTTAACAAATTTAACTCATTAGCCTACCTTGTGCTCGCAGGAATTCCTAACTCTCTCTTTCCGCCATACGACAGGTTTAATACACGGACAAATTTGCCCTCTTTGGTGATTGAAACATACTCCTACGCTTACCTACTTCATGCTAGTATTAGCTTTTTTTTTTCCTTTTTACTATATCACACTTTTTATACACGAATTAACTTCAACTGATTACTCTGTTGCCCTAACAAGACAATAGCATGCAGGCATTGGTCTCCATTAAAGGACAGTTTAATACATGGACTATTATTTTTCGTTCGGCAAAGTAATCTTCCTCCTATACTAACTTGTGCTGAGCTGGTATCAATCCCGGCTCCACAACAGGACAGGTTCGAACTCAGACAATCTGCCATGCCTGAGGTATAAATCTCACTTAGCTAACTTATGCAAGCATTAATTCTTTTTCCTTCACCACATGATAGGTTTCATAAAAGTACGACCATTTCCCATCAGCAAATTCAATTCCTACAGTGATACCTTGCACTGTTATAAGCCCCTTTCCCTTCCCCATAACACGTTTCATACGAGTCAAAGCTTTCCCGTACGATAATTGGATTAAAACATCCAATGGCCAACGTTACATTGGCATTTCCTCTCACATTCCTCCACCACGACAGGTTTCATACAAGACGACCTCTTCTTCCAAACGAACAAATCCTAATTAGTAGTTTATGTTGATGCTAGTTGTCCAAACATGGTGCGATTTCGTCTTGAGACCACCGAACAGATCTGGTTGAATCCGACCAGATTGGACTGTCTGTTGGCTGGTCTTGGTCTGTCTGTCCGAAGGATGGTGGATCAGATGACGACCTAGTAGCATTTGATTTTCAAATCCGCAGGATAAACTGATTCAAACAGGACCGCGCCGTGGATGTGATGATCGTGAGGCGGCCAACTGTCAGTTTCGTCTCTGACAGCGTCGTAAGAGAAGCACCGATATGAACTGCTCCTTTCCAAACAAGTAGTGTTGGGTTGTATTTATCCATTTAAAATAGAAACAATGAGTGATTGAAGATGATCAAAAGAAAATACAGAGACCTATTTATCTCTCTCTCTCTCTCTCCTCTCTCTCTCTCTCTCCTCTCTCTCTCTCTCTCTCTCTGTAGCTTTTTTTTTACTTCAAAAGTAGGATCTGAATTATAATATGTTTGACAGGGATATATTCATTATATCAAAATAATATAATTTATGAAATAAATGATGATACACTTGCTAGGAGGCTATATATCTACCTATCGATCTAGCTCGTTAGCTAGCTGGATATCTATAATGAGAGAAAGATAAGTGCACACCGAGGCAAAATATATAACTAAACACATATAACAAATTACACACACACACACACACACACACACACACATATATATATATATATATATATATATATATATATATATATATATATATATATATATATATATATATATATATATATATATATATATATATATATATATATATATATATATATATATATATTACTTATACCAAACATCGTTAAGGCGACGGCGACAGTTCCCAACAAATGTAACTCCTAGTTGCAGTGAGAGCCATCATGTGAGAACCGTCCTCCATTGTTTCCTCTCCCCTACAGAGCTGATCTTGAGGTGCGGTCGGATAGTGTGTAGGTGGTAGGACTTCCATCCGATCAGGTCTCTCTGACCAAGCCTCAAGGCCAATCACCCAGTGTATGGTTAGCTTTAGCCATTCATCCATCGCCACAAGGCAAGTTTCACAGGAATATGCCTGCTGGCTAGTACAGTGGTAACGCGCTGGCTTCGCATTCACGAGGTCGAAAGATCGGTCCCCGTCCAAGACCGAGAGTTTAAGCTGTTTACTGGCAGGAACTGCTGTGGTTGGACATCACAGTGGGGGGTTGGGGCTTGCCCTGGCTGACGAATACCCATTGTAATGAAATGGAAATAAAGTTTATTATTATTATTATTATTATTATTATTATTTTCCATCAAGCGAGTGACTAATTCTTCCACTAGGCTACTTTGCTCTCGCAGTGATCCCTTCACCTTTCAATGGCAATACTCTCCCCCCTTCCATGACATAAGATTTAAACAAGGAAAACTTTTCTCATCCAGACTAGGCCTATGACCTATGACTAAATCTTCCACTTCGTGTCTATCCTGGTATTGAACCTCAACCCTCATTCCGCATTACATGGACAATCTATACTGCCCAGCACATGCGTGAAACCAATAACCGATCTCCTTAACCACAAAATAGATTTTATACATTCCGTCCTGTCCAATTATCAACACACCTTCCCTTCACTACGGGACAGGTTTCATACACCGACAATCTATATACCAAGAGCACTTTCACTGATATAAACCACAATAATGGTTTCATCGGACTGGACAGATGAGCCAATAAAACTCTTATAAGGGGAGCCAAGTCTAAGTAAAATATTTAATCTCCGTGGGAGGAAAGTACAAAGGAGGGGATTCCCAGTCCCCTCACTCCACCCCATTTAGTCGACTTTTACGACAAGGGACCACGGAGGAGGTCTTCTTGCCCCCCACCCCAAGAAAAGAGAGAAGAAACGGTCGAGTACGAGAGAATATAAAGTATGGGAGACAGAGGCTAGCCTACACCTCAATTTGATAGAATTTCATTTT